TTAATCTTCATTAAGGATCAATACATTTCTAAGATTTGGATTGTCTCTTCTAATGTTTTCTTGAAGAATTAGAAAGAGGTTTGGAGGAAACCAATGCTTATTGGTAGACAATCCACAATGCTTCCTTTCTATCTTCATTTTGGAAGCAAAGGTAACATTGCATTAAGCTTGACTCTAATAATTTATTGGTAGACAATCCACAATGCTTCCTTTCTATCTTCATTTTGGAAGCAAAGGTAACATTGCATTAAGCTTGACTCTAATAATTCTATCCATGCCACATTTTTCCTTTTGTTTCTACTGTTTTTGCTTCCTATTCTACCCAGTTTCCCTTGATGTGGGCTATAATAGAGAGTAGAAGGATCATATTTAGTTTTAGAGATAGCTGTATAACTCAGGGCATATTGAAACGGAACACTGCAACACATTATACATTGCATTATAAATTATTTTAAGAAAAAATTATATGAACTCCTATGTAAGTCATATTCCTTAGTGAATGTAATCTGTGATTAATTCTTCATGTTGAAAATCCATAGTGATTCCATGAACAAGGTTTTTTTTTTCCCCACCGTAGACCTAGATGACTGTTTCCCATGTCCAGAGGATCAATATCCAAACAAGGATCAGGAGAGTTGCCTTCCAAAAAGTATAACTTACCTGTCTTTCCAAGAGCCTTTGGGCATTTCCTTGATAATGATCGCAGTCTCCTTTTCTGTCACCTCAGCTGTGGTGCTGGGGATCTTCATTAAACACCAGGACACTCCTATTGTCAAAGCCAACAACAGGAACCTCACCTACATTCTTCTCATTGCTCTCCTCCTCTCCTTCCTTTGCACTTTGCTCTTCATTGGGCAACCTGACCAAGTGAAATGCCTCTTGCGACAAATGGCTTTTGGCATCATCTTCTCAGTCGCCCTTTCGAGTATTCTTGGTAAAACAATCATAGTTGTTCTAGCTTTCATGGCCACCAAGCCCGGCTCAAAAATGAGGAAGTGGGTGGGGAAAAGGCTGGCCAACACAATTGTCCTATCTTGCTTAATGGCTCAATTCACTATTTGTGTAGTGTGGCTGGCACTTTCTCCCCCATTCCCAGGTTCTGACATGCATTCAGTGGATGAAGAAATTGTTCTGGAATGTAATGAAGGTTCAACTACAATGTTTTACAGCGTCCTTGGCTTTATGGGGTTCTTGACCACTATGAGCTTCACGGTGGCCTTCCTAGCCAGGAAGTTACCTGACAGCTTCAACGAAGCCAAATTTATCACCTTCAGTATGTTGGTCTTCTGTAGTGTCTGGATATCATTTGTTCCCACCTATCTGAGCACCAAAGGGAAATATATGGTGGCAGTAGAGATATTTTCCATTCTGGCTTCAGCAGCAGGATTATTGGGCTGCATTTTTTCCCCCAAATTGTATATCATTATTCTGAGACCTGATCTGAATAAGAAGGAGCAATTAATAAAGAAATGAAACTTATTTTTATCCCATTCTTCTCTCCAGCGGCACATCAAGGTGACATACAAGGCAGTAGCTATACAGATAACTTCCAAGTTCACTACAGAACCTAGTGAGCTGCCCTGGATCTTTTCTTTGAAATGGTAGGTAATTATTCTGAGCCCATATCTGAATCATTTTCAGTGTTGTCCAGTGAAACTTGTTCCTGTTCCATAACATCACTTAGTCTATGAATAATAGAAGAGATCTTTAAAATTAACTTTTGACAAAAAATTCTCAATGCATCGTTTGTTAAAAGATTTTGCTCCCTTCTGCTTTATCAGGCCATGTTTAAGTATTCTTCCCCTTTAATTATAATCTTTATTTCCTTCAAGTGCACTCTCCTGTCTATCCTTCAAAGTCCCATCTTATCATGTTATTTTTTCTACTGGATGCAAAAGCATGAATAGTTGGTCAACCATAAAAAGCTGTATTACGGCTGTGAGCTTAGATGGTATCCCTTGACTTCCAGCTGCTCAACTTATAAGCTGACTGCAAAACCTTGGTTCCTGTGGTCTACTTATGAGGAACGGCTGTCTGAAGTGGCGTGGACAATCTCATGATCTCTCCTTCCTCCAGAGAGATTTTGCCAGCTATGATCCTGCATCCAGCTGCTGATGTCTGCCATAAATGCCATCCCAGTTCGGCAGGGATGTCTAGCTCAGCATGGTACTTACTGGAAGTCCTCCAAGAAGGCAATGAAAAGCTTCAAGAAGGAGATGGAAAAAGATGAAATCTTGAATATACAAACAAAACCAGCAGATTTCCTGGTAACAAAAAAGGATATACAAAGGACAGAGCAGAAGAGTGTCATGGATAACCTTTCTCTATTGGATGTAGAAATGGGATTTGTTAATGTTGTCAGCGATTTT